ATTCTTATACTAACATAATCTTTTCTGCTTGCATTACACTTTCTCTTTCTCTCTTTTCTCTCTGTCTGTCTGTCTATTTCCCTCTGTTCTCCCTGTCTCTCAGTCTCCCTCTTTCCGGTCTTCCTTTCCTTCTCTCTTTCTCTCTCTCTCTCTCTCTCTCTCTCTCTCTCTCTCTCTCTCTCTCTCTCTCTCTCTCTCTCTCTCTCTCCCTCTCCCTCCCTCCCTCCTTCTCTATCACTCCCTCTCTCTCCTTCCCTCCCTCTTTATCACTCCCTCTTCCTCTTCCTCTCTATCACTCCCTCTCACCTTCCCCCCCCCCCCCACCCTCTCTCCCTCTGTCTCCCTCCTTTCGGTCTTCCCTTCCTTCTCTCTCTCTCTCTCTCTCTCTCTCTCTCTCTCTCTCTCTCTCTCTCTCTCTCTCTCTCTCTCTCTCTTCTCTCTCTCTCTCTCTCTCTCTCTCTCTCCCTCTCCCTCTCTCTCTTCATCTCCCTCTCTCCTTCCCTCTCTCTCTCTCTCTCTCTCTCACTCTCTCTCTCTCTCCCTCTCTCTCTCCCTCTCCTTCTCTCTCCCTCTCCTTCTCTCCCTCTCCTTCTCTCCCTCCCTCTCCCCCCCCTCCCTCTCTATCACTCCCTCTCAACCTTTCCCCCCCTCTCTCCCCCCTCTCTTCCCCCCTCCCCCCCTCCCCCTCCCTGCTTTTCTATTTCCCCACCCAGCGAGCGGAACGGCGCCCCAAATCCTCGGCTTTGCGTCCCACTTTATATGAAAATGATACGCCCGTCCGCGATGCCAGCGTTATTTCCTCCCGCAGAAGAGCTCAAGGGGCGCCTCCTCCTGTAGTTCCTCCGACGGCGTTTTGACCCCTCCTCTCCGCTCCCAAAAGGCCCGGAATCCCGACGGAGGAGAAGGGAACGGGATAGGGAAGGACGGCGCGGAGAAGCTGGCGACCGGTGATTGTTAAAGTTTGCACGGGGAGGGAGACTCGCCCCGAATCATTGTCTCTCGTGGTGGGGTGAGTGAAGGGCGGCGTGGGGGGGTGGGGGGGTGGAGTGGGGTGGGGGTGAGTGAAGGGCGGGGTGGGAGGAGGGGGGTGGGGGTAGGAGTGGAGAAAGGGGTGGAGGGGTTAGGAGTGGAGAAAGGGGTGGAGGGGTAGGGGGTAGGTAGGAGTGGAGAAAGGGGGTGGGGGTAGGGAGGAGGGGGAAGTGGTGGGAGGTGGGGGGGTGAGTGAAGGGCGGGGTGGAGGGGGAGGTAGGAGTGGAGAAAGGGGTGGGAGGAGGAGGGGGTAGGGAGGAGGTGGAAGGGGTAGGGAGTAGGAGAGGGGAAGGGGGGATAGAAAAGGGTAGGGGGTGAGAGTGGGGAGTAGGAGCAGGGGAAGGGGTAGGAGGAGGAGGGGAGGTAGGAGAGGGGAGGGAGTGGAGGGGATAGAAAGGGGTGGGGGGGGGTAGGAGCTGGGGTGAGAGGAGGGTGGACTGGAGGGGGGAGTGGTTGGGGGAATAAAAGGAGGTGGGGGGATAGGAGGAGGTGGAGGCGGGAGTGTAGGGGGGGGTTAGGAAAGGGGGAATAGGAAGGGGTGTGGGGGGTGGGTTAAGGGGGGTGGGGGTGGAATGGGGATAGGAGGAGGGTGGATAGTAGGGGGGGGGGTTGGAGGTTAGTGGAAGTGGGTGAGTGAAGAGCTGGTGAGAGGGGGAGAGGGGGCTGGAGGAGGGGTAATGGGGGGGGGTGAAGAAGGTGGGGGCGAGGAAGAAGTGGGTTTAGGGTAGGGGGGAGGGAATAAAACAGGGGGGGGGGGAGGAGGAGGAAAAAGTGGGCACTAATAATCGTTTCATTAAATGTGACTCAGTGATTGTGGGTGAGTTAGTGGGGGGGGGGGAGTAGAGGGGTGAGGAATTTAAGGTAGGGTGGGGTGGGGTGTATAGAGATGGTTAAGGGGGGGAGGGGAGGGGATCTTTAAAGGGTGGGTAGGGGGGGGAGTTAAGGAATAGTCAATATGGGTAGGTAAGGGCGGCTTTAGGGGGCAAAGCGGGGGGGGGGGGGGGGTTAAGGTTCTATTTAGGGGTTGAAGAGGTGGGTGAGGGGGGTGAGGGGGGTGAGGGTGAGTTTGGTGGGTTTAGGAGTACAAAGAAAGAAGAAGAAGAGGAAGAAGAAGAAGAAGAAGAAATAGAAAGAAATAAGACACAAGAGACGAAGAAGGAATAGAAGAAATAGTAGTAGAAGAAGAAAAGAAAGAAGAAAAAAAAAGAAAAAAGAAGAAGAAAAAAAAGAAAAAAGGAAAGAAAAAAAAAGAAAAAAAAAGAAAAAAAAAAAGAAAAAAAGAAGAAAAAGAGAAAAAAGAAAATAAAGAAAACAAAAAGAAGAAAAAAAGAAGAATAAAAAAGAAAAAAAGAAAAGAAAAAAGAAAAGGAAGGCTTAAAAAAAAAAAAAAAAAAAAAAGTAATATTTGTAAATCGCTTTTCGAACGCAATCTCCCCTCGTCCTGTATTCAGAAGGACAAATTAAGACCAAA